AGCCTCCAGCGGATGCTGGCTAGCATTGGAGCTGTCGTCGATGTGAGAAGTGGAAACGACTGCTCTGGAGAACACAATTCCTCTGCTTACTAAATATGCTCCTCAGTCGTCATTGTGTCTTGCGTAACATCGACTGAGAGTCAATTGATGGCCGTTACGTCTTGAAGTCGTGCTCACGCCCGCCAGATAGGAACTAATCGACCGTTATGTTTCTCTCGATCTTGATCGTCGCATGGCTAATGGACTGGTAGATTTGAATGACGTCGTCATGGCGTCATGAGTGGCAAGGTAACTTTGAAATAATCTCTCCGAAATGCTCTCCATGTTCGCGGGCGTGCTGCTCCGAAACTGGAGGGGGTTCGGTCTTAGGAAGGGCGGGGCTGTTAACTGCACCGAAAGGCCTCCAAGATGGCTATTTTAGTTCAAAACCTCATACGAATGTACTCGCTGGTCTTCGACAGTGTCTTAGTTTCACATCTCTTAGATATACCTTATGGGTGTCCGTTTTATCGAATTTTTTTCGATCGGTTTTTGAATTGTTTGTTCAGCTGAGAAGTGATATTTTGTCGGACTGTTATAATGTCCTGTGACATCTCAATCCCCGAAATAAATTCCCTTGCGTGCTGGCGCTCCTCTAATGCCAAGTATTTACTTGCTTTTCACCGAAGTCGTGCCACATGTCGCCGGACCGCAACAGCACACCATTTAGCCTTATTTGCCTGCATTATTGCACAGTAACGTCCTTTACTCAGCCAGACTGGTCGCCAAAATCACATCTTCATTTTGGCCGAACAGATATTCAACGCCGCCATTTATTTGTTTGGCTAGCTTTCTCTCTTGTTCGTCTCGAGTACTTTTTTTAGAACACTGCACACGAAATTAGTCTTGCTGTAATATTCATGAGAACTTTAACGAACAGCTTACCAGATATAACGAACTCAGCATGTTATCAGTTAAGAACTCTTCAGCATGTAAGGGAACTGAGTACTGCTGCACATTTGACAGATTTCATTCTGAAGTAAATCAACATATGCACCGTCTTTCGAAGAGAAATATTTTGAGCGTGAAAAGACCCCCCCCCCCCTCCATCTCGTGGTAGCTCTGTTAATGTTAGTTCTAATGTTATCAGATGGTCTGTTCCATACTCGGCTCGTATGCCTGCATCAAGAGCGTCCCCTCCAAGTCATCGGAACACAAGAAGTCGAGGCGTGCATGTTGCAGCAGTCTTCCGATTAGTCACAATCCTACAGACGCGCCACATACATCAGCCTTCCGTTCACAGACGATACTCTATCAAGGAAGGTACCTTCAGCGATTAAAGCGTCAGGTTTGCCACGACGCGCTACCTGGGAGAGAGTTAAAGCATTAGCTGCGCAACTGACCGCCTCAGCGCTCGGCCCACCACTCTGCCCAGCCGGGAAATGACCATGCCATTCGTGCATCGCGCGGTTCTTGGGAAAGTGTCGCGCAAAAAATGTCGTGTTCCTCGTTGCCTTCCACCTATGCAATCGCCAACCGCCCCCCCCCCCCGCCCCTTACACCCACATTGGCGAGACAGAACGTAGCGTCCGGGAACGCTTTAACGAGCACACACGAGATAAAAAAAAACGACCAGAAACACTCCATTCGGCATCCACTCTGCTGAGGCACATCATACGGAAATCGCCGACACAAGGTCGCTTTTTATAAAACATGCATCCTGCGGGTATGTAGAAATGCACTGTTAGATGTAATGCGGCTCGAGAACATTGCGTGATGCTCTTTTAATGTTGTATTGCGCGACGTTTATGGTCTGAATCCATTGCTTGCATTTTGTGCGTATGCTGAAGAATGTCCGCGTTTGAAATATGCATATGCATATATTTATATGTATATATTGTGTACATATGCATGTGCATATGTAAATGTGTGTGTGTGTGTGTGTGTGTGTGTGTGTTTGTGTGTGTGTGTGTGTGTGTGCGTGCGTGCGTGCGTGCGTGCGTGCGTGCGTGCGTGCGTGCGCGCGTGCGTGTGTGTGTGTGTACTTAAATTTCCGTACTTAACGCCAGTACTTAAATTTCACGACACTTTAATTGGAAATATTCCGCGATTCCTCTTCGTCTGTAACAAGTTGTTCCCTCCTTACAGCGACGCCACGAAGGACTCGTCTATCACCTGCTATACGGCACCGGCCAATGGCTGGACAGCTACACATTCCGGTCATTGGCTGACGGACAGTCAAAAGTCTCAATTAGTGAAACCGCTCCAGAGGCAGGCGACGATCGAAAAGGTTAGGCACTCTCACCACAGAATATTTCCAAGCGCTCGGTCCATCACCTCGATAGGTTCACGTAAGTTTATCAATGACCAGTGACCTTTCGGTGACCGCAGACGATCACCATTTCACACATTCGCCTAATTATCTGCAGCCCGCAACAAGTCATTGCTTCAAACGGATTAATGCTCGGTGCGGTGTCACCAAATGTTAGTCCAATTTAATGTTATCCCGGCAAAACGAATGGTATGGCGGAGGTGATGGATCAAGTCATGTTTTGACATGTGGACATATAATCGATCATATTGCGGCCGTTTACTGCAATTGTAAGCACCAGTAGATATTATCGAACACCCCGCGAACTGGAAAAAGCCATTGCAGATCTAATGTCGAAGGCCATAGCATATGAAATACCTAGACGTTTGTTTAGGTGGTTTGTCACCATTACATGTGAGCTGATGTTTGCTGCGTTGTTTCAGCATTGCAGGATAGGCGTGGCCGTGGTTCCCTGGCGACTGACCTGGAGATCGCCTCCGGCATGGAGGATCCCGAACCCTGGTAGAACCTGCTCCTCGGAGCCGGGTTATGCTTATGTAACACAATTTAGCGGTGCGGCTGAAAATAAATGTCCTGTGTTTAGCCTGTAGTGTGTGTCTGATTTTACTGCATATTTCGCTTTCTGGCGAATAGCTCTTGTTTCTTTGGCGTTGGTATTTTGCTTCAAATGTATTCGTCCAAGTAAATGTCACTTTTCCGGTCATTTTCAATATCATTGTGTGAATAACTGTGTTTTTAAGTCATACAAGGATGGAGAAACCACGATAGTTCAGAGTCCACTGCGTTCAAGTGCATCAATCATATTCTGAGAATGGGGTGAGGTGAGAGGGGGGGGGGGGGTCCGCATGCATCTCAGGTTTCCAAGCTGCATGAAAACAAATTGATGACCGATTTCTCTCGTGATTGCGACTCGGACAGGGACTGACTGCGGCTACCCTTGTAATCGCTTATCAAGTAAACCGACCATGGTGCATTATCCGTTGAGTTTGGATACCGACTGGTAGCGGCGTCTTCTGCATCGATTCCTGCCGAGGCCCACTTTGCCCTGAGCTGACTGGACGGGAGTATGCAGCTCCTCCACGCGGCCTGCTGTCAGTGACCGCCGCTGGCGCCTGGTGTGTCGGCCGCGACCCCTGACGCCCGGCTCTGCTCCAGGCGCGGATCGCTGTCGGCTGAGCCCGGCCCCCCTCGGCCGGAGGGGGCGGAGGCGGTCGGCGCCCGGCCGGAGACAGAGAACGGAGCGACGCCGGCGGCCGGCGCCGGCCGCTGGCGTCGGCTCAAGGCGACCCTGAGCCGCCAGTCGTCACTGCTCTCGCTCACCCAACGGTCCTCGCTCAAGCTGTCCACCTCGGAGGAGATGCTGTTGGAGCAGGCGCTGGACACGGTGGGCGTCCACCCCGCTCCATGGGACTCGGTCGGCAGCCGGGGACAGGAATGGTCAAGTGTCGTACCTCTGTTTCGGAGGACAAAAGCAAAATTTGGAAGACCAAGTTATATTGCGTACGATTTACGTTCCATTATCATTGCGGAACGTTAGTGAATTTCAGTCAGGCGGTTTCGGTCAGCAATTTCTGTTTCTGCTCCTGACTGACCAAACAACAGCCGTGGGCCACGCTCTGTGAGGTGACGTCACTCCTCGTGTGCCGCCGAGGCTGCAGTGTCTGGGCCGCCAGCTGTGCGCCGGCCGCCGCTGACGGTCGTCTCCGTCCAGCAGGAGGCGCCGCCGGACGAGGACGGGGGCCGCGCCGCCCGGCGCCGCCTCATGCTGCAGGTGTGGCAGCGTGAGTCGGAGCACCGCCGCCAGCTGACCGGACCAGCGCAGAGGCGACGCTCCGACTCCAGCTGCATCGCCGGCCAGACCGGTCAGTTCACGCCCGTCAGAGCGGGGGGGGGGGGGGGCGAGTGACGCGGAGCATCGCTCAGTCCTAAGACGCACCAGCTGTGCGACTATTAGCAAAGATTAGTTGTGAACGGCATCGGACTGTACCGTGGCCAAGGTTGACCTAAAAGAAACTGGACTCCGAGGTTACGTTGTCTTATGACTATTCTTCTCGTTTCGCGGTGGCGTCTGCCTGCTGCCAATAAGAGAAATGTGCCGCATCAAAAGGGAAACAAAGTAGATGGTTTCCTGAACGGGAACAAGTGTGGTGCCCGTTAAGAGCTTTCAGTCCCCATCCATTGAAGAACAGCGATGACATCGGCATTTGTGCGATGAGAACTTCGCCTAAATGCCCACTAATGCTGAGCTGTGAATAGCACTGTGTTATGAATACGACGATTACGACGATTGTAGTACAGCATATAGAGTGCCAGCTTTCCATAAGGGCCATTTTGAAGTCATGCCTTCGCAGTAACATTGCGATACGAATAGCAAACTTGTGGCAGCGATTATATGTGATTGCAACACGCGGTGTAAATCAAGAGGAGGTGCGGGATTTTCCCGTGCACGCACAAACACGCGGGGATGGGCTCCATCCGCTTCGCCGAGCTGGTGTTGGGTTCGCGTCCGCGGTGCCGCGCCGGCCGCGTGCGTCGGCGTTGGTCGCCCCGTGGCCGACAGCGCGCCACTGCCGCAGACACGCGGCGGCGCCACCGGTCCGAGGAGGCGCCGCCGGCTTCTGCGGCCCGACCGGCCGAGGGCACGCCGGCCGAGCCGCTGCCGAGGCCGCCAGTCGTGCCAGCCTTCCCCATGCAGGACCCCGGCAAGGAGGTGGAGATCAAGGAGACGGAGGTTAAGGTGAGGTAGCGAGGAGACTCCAGCGTGGCGCAACAGGAGCTGATTACTAAGCCCAGTATTCATTTGGTATAATTTGTATGGCCGAGTGAAATGAAAAGGAACCGTTGCTGCCTCATGTCTGAGGACCATATAAAAAGTGTAAGGTATTGACAGACTAGCTGGAGATAGAGCTCGTAAGGGGTCGGCGGGGAAAAAAATAGTGCCTTGTGAACTGGGCAGCACGGCAGAAAGATTGCACGACAGACTACCTCCCATGGCTTGGGCGGTCCCGGACCTCTGAGACTAAGACCGGCGTCGCGTATCCTGGCAGGTAGTGGCACTTCCTGGAAGGCAGTTTCTGTCTTCCCACAGTCCTCCGTGGGTGTCAGGGTTCTGGGCCGTTGGTGTGCGCTCTGACGGGCGCCGCTCGTCCGGCAGGTGGTGGACCGGCGCGAGAACGAGTGGACGGCCGAGTGGGACTGGGCCGAGCGTGAGCGGCGCCGCAACGCCGAGCGCGCCGCGCGCCGCAGGGGGAACGGCCAGGTCCCGGCCGGCGCCGCCGCGGCGGACCACCAGGCGGCGGCAGACGGAGCAGCCGCCCAGGAGCGACAGGACGCCCCAGATGGCGGTGAGGACCGACGGGCGACGGCAGACGGGGCAGCCGCCCAGGAGCGACAGGACGCCCCAGATGGCGGGGAGCAGCGACGGGCGGCGGCAGACGGAGCAGCCGTCCAGGAGCGACAGGACGCCCCAGATGGCGGTGAGGACCGACGGGCGGCGGCAGACGGAGCAGCCGTCCAGGAGCGACAGGACGCCCCAGATAGCGGTGAGGAACGGCAGGCGGCGGCAGATGGAGCGGCCGCCCAGGAGCAGCAGGACCTCCCAGATGTTGGAGAAGAGCGACAGGTGGCGGCAGACGGAGGAGCTGACCACGAGGAGCAAGGATCCTCCAGTGTCGAACAGCAGCAGCAGGAGGCTGAGGATGGGGTGGCGCCGCAGCGGCAGGCGACTGAGGTCGAAGCTGCTCTGGATAAGCAGCAGGAGCCCCGACCCCACCAGCCTCCTCGCAGCAGAGAGTCGGACAGCGAAACTCACAGCGAGCGTGAGGCCATGGGCGGAGGAGCCTCGGAGCAGCAGCGGGAAGAGGGCAGAGGTGATGAGGCTCGTGACGGGGATAATGCCGAGCAGCGGCCACTTCGTCGTCAGAACGAGTCGGCAAACGAAGCCCAAGGCGAACGCCAACATCAGGCCTCCCAACAACGGGTGGGTGGAGTACCAATAACCTAAGGCCTTTGTGAAGACAAGAATAGGGATTCTATGTTACCATCTAGATGGCATGCTGTGCTTTTACAAATATCTGCGCGCACCATACATGGCTTGTGTTTTAGTTTCTGAAATCAAGTAGTTTCCAGCATTACCTGTTTCAGTGATTGAAAGGCCTGGAAATAGATGGCATGCTTACAGGTGGGATTATTTTAAGCTCTGTAGTAAGCTAGTAAACAGTAAGCTCTGTCAGACGAGTGGTGTAGAAAGTTATACAGAAGATAAGTGTGGAGATGAATATGACAGCATGGTATAAATGTGATGACAATGATATTGCATTCATCACCTACCTCTTGGATCTGTGTGTTCCACTTGAATTGCTCGGCAGATAAGCCAATAGTGCTTAATTGTCAAACGATGACACTGTATGGCTTGCATCTGCTGTTTTGTATTGCGCATACCAAGAGCTTATACACAGGAAAACTGCACTCTTGCATATCTGTCTGTGCCTTGCCAGCTGGCCACCGGTGTGACTGGTGTCCTGACGTGTGGGCAGGAGTCTCACCCCGGCGCGGCGAAGGAGGCTGACGACGGCGCGACCGGGAGTGCCAGCGGAGCGGCAGCACTGCCGGCCCACCCGTAACCAGCCCGGCCCGGCCTACCGCGGCCCGCCGCGGCCCGCCGCCCACCGGCTGCTGCGCGGATCTCGACTAATAGTCGTCCACTGCGCTGATCTCAGCCAACAGGCTTCCATTGCGCTGATCTCAGACAATAGCCGTCCACTTTGCTGATCTTAGCCAATGGCCGCACACAGTGCTGATCTTAGTCAATAGCCGTCCATTGCGCTGATCTCAACCAATAGCTGTCCACTGCACTGATCTCAGCCAATAGCTGTCCACTACGCTGATGTCAGCCAATAGCCGTTCACTGCGCTGATCTCAGACAATAGCCATCCACTGCGCTGATCTCAGTGACTAGCCGTCCACTTTGCTGATCTTAGCCAATGGCCGCCCGCAGTGCTGATCTTAGTCAATAGCCGTCCATTGCGCCGATCTCAGCCAATAGCCGTCCACTGCGCTGATCTCAGCCAATAGCTGTGCACTGCGCCGATCTCAGCCAATAGGCGCCCACGGCGCGGATCTTAGCCAATAGCCGTCTACTGCGCTGATCTCGGTTATCAACGGATGGCCGCCAACCGCAATGCCTTGCGTGCACCACTGGATGTGTGCTGCCGGGATGTCCAAGTGTGGATGATCCTCACTGGTACGTTAGCACCAGTTCCCTCTTCTGGCCGCCCGTTCATTCCTGGCTGTCCACTGCAGCCCATCCATGCACTTTGGTGATTGTGCTCCATGAAGCTACTAATGTTAAGACGGTGCTGTTAGCCTTAATCCTTGCAGAATAACTAGGAGAAAGGAGATATAGATGCATTTATATTTCGGCTACATGGTTCATGAAAACGGATGTGAGCAGTTAATTCAAAATCTAAAATTTCCTGCCGATCCCACTTGAATTTTGAAGTTTGCATTCATATGCGTTTCGATAAAGGCGTGTGGCTGAAATATCGGTTCGTCTTTTCCCCTTTCTCCTGTTTATTTAGCGAGGAATATGACTAACAATACCGTCCCGACTACAGTAGTAATACATAGCGCTTTATGCATAAAATTTCTCGCGAATGCACTCTGCAACTTACGTAACTAATATTGGCATCAATGGCCTTTTATGTTGGTTTGCGGGGTTGCAATTTTTACTCGGCTGTACGTAGTTTGAAGTTACATGCGTACGTCACAAAAGCGGGGTACATACATGCGTGTGGTTGAATAAGGCGGCGTAATATGCGGCCGTCATCTTCTTCTTTTTTTTCGCTCATTGTCTCGCACCAAACTTCTCGTATCGTGATCGAGCTCTAAAAGAACTCGTCTTAAATTGGTCATCACGCTCCGAAGCTTCGTCTGACATATGACGAAGTAAGGTCGAAGTAAAGTTATGATGTACAAATATGACGTGCTGCATTTTATTTACGATGATAGATGGAAGTCCACATCCGCTCAGGTGTAAATACATTTGTTATGCGACATATTCGCGATACAGAGGGTCAAATCACCGTTTACCTTACGTTCCGCATTTTTTAATTTAAAGTTCACGAGAGTTGATACATGGTTGAGCCCCTGAATCGACTGAATGATATCCGACAAATGGTGCACATGCTGAATACGCTTGTAACAGAAGTTGCGTGTATACGCATGTATAGTGATAACACGTTCTGTATTGGGTATATATCAAGAAACAAACGTTTGAACGCCTAAGCGGCTGTGAACTTTGAACTATAGTCATGAATCAATTGCAATATATATGTCATGACTGTACGATGTCCCAACTTAACTTTCGCCGTGACGATGGCGTATATATGTTTTTTTAATGTTGGAAAGGAATGGCCAGGTTTAGATAAGCACTTTCCGAGCTTGATCATGAGACGAAAAGCTTGATACGAGACATTGCGGGATATTGAGCGAATCGAAAAAGAAGTAACGGCCTCGTGTTGCGGTGTTGTGTCCGACAAGAAATGCTTACTGGAAGGTCTGCTACCTAAGTTTGCATGCGTCCGTATGTATGTTCATCCCCGACAGGGCCTAGGTGTGTTGGTCGAAAACGCCTGGCGAAAATCTCACAGCAGATAAAGATTTTCTCCCGCATAAAGAAAAAAGATTAAGAAAAGTACTGCAGTGTTTGGCTCGACCTGGACAAAATACATCATTGGTTGTTCCTGTGCCCTTCCCAACAGCCCAGCCACGGCAATGGGCTGGATTGTTGAGATCAAGGCGCAGACTCATGGCTAATGATACAGCCTTATTTCGACCTTAGATGATGCATTGATGAAGATATCTGTCTGTCCAGATGAAGGGAAAAGATCGCATCGTGTTCCATTGACGTAATCAGTATCTGCTGTTTGATTTTGGCGGGAACGTTTAAAAAATCGTAGCAGGTTCTGTGGTGGTTGGCGTTTCGAATTGGCACAGTTGAGCCAAAGCACCAGCGATTAACTCCCGATTATCCGGCGTTGCAACGAGCGGCTTAACCCCGACGTTGAGTGCTTCGGGCTGCGTTGGTGCCGTTGTAGGGCACGGTGTGTATTTTTTCGGCTGCGGCCTGTGCCTCGGGCGGCCCGAGAACGGCTTCCGGCCGCTGCGTGTTGCACCAGTGACGTCACACGGGAACATTGGTAGTCGCGATCTGAGATTGTCATCGGGTTCAGCTGTGTCCAGAGGAAGGCGGATCTCCAGAGCCGGCATAGCGATCCCCAAAAGGCGGTGTGATTTTGTGTTGTGCCGTGTCGTCTGCATGCTGACACCCCGATCAGGGACGTATGGCTCATGAAGTGACAGTCCGTGGCCAGTTCTTTTGATGCTGTTTTTATTTTTTTAGCGCGCAAAGGTTGTGTGCAGTCAAACAAACAATGACTGGGATTAACTGCACGGTAGAAGTATGGCTTGATGTCACATGCTTATTACGGGTCTTTATTGATATCGTGGTTACCCGGGCCCACCAGTAATTGCAGCAGTGTTGCTCTGTCAGCTTTAAACGTTTACGAAGGTAGCGTGCTGTTTTGTTGCCACGGTGGGTTCAATGGTTTCGCGCTGTTTAGACTCGTGCGTTGGTCCAGTGGTGTGTGTCACCCTGCGTAGCTGGCGGTAGACGTGTGCGTGTGCTGGTCACTAACTGTGGTGCACTAAGCAAACAAACTGAATCTGTGAAGCGTCTCAATAAAAACCTGCACCGGACTTGCAGCACTGTTTCGGCCAGCTTACCGCTTGTGCCAGTGACTTCTGCAGTACGTGCATTATTGTTGCGAGATAGCCGAATGCAACACAGTGATAAGCGTTGCACTGTTCGTCGCGGTAGATCTTCTGTCAAGCAGCTTAAGGTCGTCTGTAAAAAAGCTGGTTTGACAAAATGCCCTTAGATGTTAGTTAGGTCCTGTCATGTTAACCGACAGTGTAAAGTGAGTGTTCCATTCACCCGTCCGTGTTTTGTTAGAAATGCGAACGCGTCATAACATCGTTGGCATCATGAGCAAAAGAGTGGCTAAGTATAAACCAACCTGCCAGCCCTGGGGCCTGCGTCCTCCCCAGCGACCGTCAAATGTTTTTAGCCGCTCGGTCTCGCAGTTTAATGGCCCGGCTCCCTCGGCGTCGGTTTGACCTCTCTGACCGCTGGACTCGGCTATGCGGCTACCGACCATCCGGCCCTGCCATTTCTCTAGTGTCAGTTCATGGCAAGATTCCTGCCCTGCATGATGCATTGCCGCAGTGTGATGCATGGCCTGTATCTAAACAGACTACACTAAGTAGCATGTATGCCGGCTAAAAACGTTGATTTTCAGTATTTCATAGACGCATCACCCAGGCCAGGACGATCCATGCCACTCCCCAAAGTCGCATTTAAGGTCATATGACTGAGCAACGCCGCACTGACGCTGTTTCGCATCGATCTGAGCAAATCAGGCGTCATTATCAAGCCCGCTGCCAATTCTAGTGCGGGCCATGGCTACGTCAGCCTTCGAGGTCGATTGTGGCGGTTGAAAAGCTCAAAACGCAAATTTTCGAGGTGAAATGACGGGGTAGAGTCGCGCTGTCCCTGTATGGGACTGCGTGGGCTGATGCTGATACAGAGTGTGTCATCGAAGAGACACGCATGAATTCCAGCTTATGCTCGTCTAAGCACGCGAACCATGTCGATCTTCAAAGTCACATTACAGGCCAAAGACGAGGCCGGATGGGGCCGCACCGGACCAGCAGCGCGCGTGACCGGACGGATTAAGACGGGATGGAACTTGACAAGCAGGACCGGGCGGAACCGGAGGGGATTTAACCGGACTGGACAGGGTCGGACGGCACCTACTGTGATGAAAGGAGCCGAGAAGGACCGAGCGGGACCGCACGGAAGCTGACGAAACCGGACCTGGACGAAACTGGATGGAATGTTGTGAGGCGAGACGGGACCGGAGGGAATCCGATCAAACCAGACGGGGCTGGAGGGAATCAGATCAAACCAGACGGGGCCGGGCCGGACAAGGTCAGACGGAGCCGGATGAAATCGAAAGAGACCTTATCGGGGCAGATGGGACCGGAAGGGACCTGATATGACCGAACGGAACCGGATGGGACGGAACTGGGCCTGACGGAACCGGACCTGAAGGAGCCTGACCGAACCGAGCGGGACCGGTCGGGACCAGTCGGGACCGGATGGGGCTAGACCAAACCAGACTTAACCGGACAGGATCAACTAGAATCGGGGGCACCGGATGTGACTTAAAGGAAGTGTTCCACACTTGTATTGAGTTTTGAGACGGAATAGCCATCTTAAATATCATCCGGTGCAGTTTACAGTTCTGCCCTTTTTAATGCCGAAATCTCTCTAATTTCTGAGCTACACGTCCGTGAAGATGCGCAAACTATTTCGCGGAGACTATTTCAATGTCGGCCAGGCGTCCATGACGCCTTAATAGCGTTTTTCAAATATTCCCATTCCCTAAGCCGCGCGGTGATCAAGGCCAAGAAAAATATGATGATCGAGTCGTTCATATTTGGAGTTCGTAGTCACAGTTAGCAGATAAAACGGTCGTTAACTGGCTCTCAATCGATGTTGTGCAAGGTACGATGACGAAATCAGATAATGACGCCATGAGCAGCGTACTTACAATACAGAGACATTGTGTTGTTTGTGACAGTCTTTCCCACTTAAAAGTATACC